ACATCCAAAAAAGGTAGCTTGCCATCTTTTTCGACTTCCATGGTAAATCTGATGGCTGGGTGTATGGAATTGATGTGGTCGAGGAATTGGTCTAGAGCAGGCCGGCCATGTGGCCAGATGACAAAAGTGTCATCCACGTACCTCTTCCATAAGGTTGGGCGCAGAGTGGCAGTCTGGATGGCGCCAGTCTCAAATTTCTCCATGAAAATGTTAGCTATAACCGGAGATAGGGGGGAGCCCATTGGGGTGCCCTCAGTTTGTAGAAAGTTCCATTCCAAGTGAAGTATGTATTGGTTAAGCAGTGTTTCACCAGGGGGGGGTACCTCAGTGTTTAGTCCTTGATGAACCAAGTCTTCAATGATTGCGATGGTGTCAGGTACAGGAACTTTGGGAATAAGGAAACTACATCAAAACTGACAAGCAGGTCGTCTGGGGACAGGGAAATACCCGTGATTGTCGATACCAGGTGAGTAGAATTTTGTACCGCAGAGGTGGTTTTTCCAGTGAAAGGCCGCAGGATTTCAGACAGAAAACGAGCCAGTTTGTAGGTGGGGGAGTTGATAGTAGAGACGATGGGACGAAGGGGTGTATCTACTTTATGTGTTTTGGTAATCTTGGTGGCCTGGCAGCAGAAGATTTCAACGAGAACTGTTTGGTTTGAGCAATTAGTACGGTTGAATCAGAAATGATTTTATTGGTTTGTATGATGAGGCTGTTGGTGGGATCTCTTTTTATTTTTGTATAGCTGCCATCGTTGAGTAATTCTTGAATTTTGTTGTTATATTCTATTTTATCCATGATGACAGTGGCATTGCCCTTGTCGGCTGAGAGGATGACAATGTCATCCCTCTTTTTTTTATTTATATAATTCAAAACGCTCATCTTTGCTCAGCATGCATGTTGCTATTTAATCGGCCATATGCAAGAAGAAGTGCAGATGGAGATTTGTTATTAAATGTAGAGGTCGTCACTAACTAAAAAGAGAGCATCTGTGACAATTATCTGCAGTATATGACATTCGCGCACGCCTTGCGCGATATTTGTGCTAAGCGTCATTTCATAGATGTTCAACTTTTTAACATACAAGAACGTATTGTTAATCTTGCGTGCATGCGCTTACTTATAAAAGCATTTTCTTATGTTTAAAGGAGTTTGCACGGTGTAACTGTAATTGTCTTTTGATGCAATTCGTTACGATTTCATTAAAGAAAATGTAATACTTTGGCCAATTTTTCTTGAACTTTAATCAGGTTTAAAATATATATAGTATTAGAAACACGATTGATTTACAAGTGTTCACTGTGGAATTTAATTTCCTTTGTGTGAGTTGAGACGTTGCTGGTGCATGCACAATTATGTTTTTTTGGGGGTTATTACTGTGCTGTATGATTTTTCAAGTGTGCAATAAAATCTATCTGATGACTCGAGCTGTTACCCCAGTGTGTTTGTTTCAGGAAAATATTTTGCTCATTAACTCAAGTCCCCAAGCCAAGCGGGGTTGGAGCGTATGGCGTTGACGCAGTGTATGTTGAACTTTTTTTGCACCGTACGTAGCCAACCACGAAAATCGGAGGTGCGGGAGGACAATAAAATAAACACAAAAAAGTTTTAAAAAAATGAGTTTTCAATCTAGATTTAAAAGTGCATAGCTCCAGTGGCTTTCTAATATCGGAAGGAAGAGCTTTCCGGACGGCCGGAGAAGCGCATCTGAAAGCGCGCGATGCAGTGACCGTATTTGTTCGATGGTCAGCCAAAAGCCGCTGCGAGGATGACCGGAGTTCGTGTGATGGTTTATGCTTCTTGACGAGGTTCATTGTCAGAAAGCACCTTGTGTGTAATGAGTGCGACTTTAAAATGTATTATTTCGGCAACCGCAAGCTAATGCAGCTTGGTGAACATTGGACGGACACGGTTGGATCGTGCCGTACCCGTCACGACACGTGCTGAAAGTGTTTTGTACTGATCATTGTGAAGAAGTATGGTCAAATAACTCCCATGATTTTCAAAGCATGGGGAGGCATTTATCCAGCAAGGACTGAATATTATTCTTAAATGATGGCGCCTAAGGAAAGTTTCACACAGTCGATCGGCGTAATAAGAATCCGTCTGCTAAGTGGACCCAAATGCCCTGGTTTTAAACCCTCCTAGCTGGGGGTGGGGGTGGCAACTCCCAGAAGAGGTGCGGCCGAAGGGGGAGGAGTGTGTGAGGTTCGCATCTAAGAGGCTGGGTCGCGTTGCTCCCAGTGTCACGGGACAGTGGATCCCGGTACAGCATGTCCAGGAATCTTTGCTCGTCTTATTCAGGTTCACGTGGTAATTTGTAGAAATGCCTCTGTTTATACACGTGTAGTGTAATAGCGCCGGCCGGTGTACAGCAGCGGCAACTGCGGTGGACAGATAGTCCACATGCCGGTGAGGGTGTGTTGGCAGAGCGGAGGAAATAGGACAAGAGTCACGGAGGACCCCATCTGGAGGCCACTGGAACCTGCTAGCAGGTTCGAGAAGGGAGGCGCGGTCAGGGCGGAGCCAGACCGCGCTGGCAGCATAAAAGGAGGCGAGAGCGGGAGCTCGAGGCTGCCGGTTCTGGGAGTGGACCTGTCTCGTCGTCGCTGCCGTCTCCGCTAGATATTGCGTTAGGAAGGAGAGTACTTGGCTATCTCAGTCAGCGCCGTCAGTGTTAGACGGCTAGTGTTGTGTACAGGCTAGGCTGAACTACTGCGGAGAGTGTGTGGACGAGACCGTGGAAGTTGTTAATAAAGAAAGTGCCTCCTAGAAACTCTGTCTCTGAATCGTTGACACTACACCTGTACCTCGTACTTGTTTACCTTGAGCATCATTCATATGCTGTCTCAACCTCTCCTGAAAGCAGAACCAATACCAATACCCGCCATACGCCGCCAAGTGACGGTGATGTCACCACGGCGCCTGTGCCAGGCCAGGTGCACTTTGAGTCAACGTGAAGTGTTGAAGGCTCGCTGACAGGAGGTCACGGAACAGACCCAGGTGCATGGCCATTTTAATACGGGCGACATTGTTTTGTCTATTTGTGCTTCTCCCTTGTGATGGGACTTTGTAGGATGAACGTTGAGATTTATAAGGGCACGGGGTGACCAGTAAGATCTGAAGTGGTCTGTAATAAGGGAGGCACTGACAAGGGGTTGACAGGTTTGTAACATGGTTGACCAAAAGTTCTAACCGCCCTTGGACCTCGTTCAGCCCTCCCATTGTATCAGTACCAGATGGAAATTTTCTTCGGTACAGGCATGGAACACTTCTCGAACTACGTGGTCAAAGATGATGTTAAATAATGTGGGAGCCAGAGGATATCCCTGTCGCACCCCAAGGTGAAAAGGGAATGGCTCCGACTCCTGGTGCTGGTCAGCAGCCACTTGACCAACATTCGAATCGCGGGACTGTACACGGTGCAGTACATCAAAACAAATGGCGCACTCACAAAACGTCTCCCCATTGCGCTGTGTGTGGGCGTTCAAACATCGGAAGGGTCGGGGGCGGTGGTATTTGTCACCAGCATATCACGCTTATCTTACAACAAAAAAGGAGTTTGCCGCTCCTCGTTCCGAGCTGAGGCTGCCGTCAGCTGCCCACGTGACGGCCGGGAAGCGCTTTCGGCAGCACGAACACACCCTGCGCCTGCTGCGACTGTTGCCCTGCGGTCATTTCCGGGCAAGAAACCAGAAATTGTGGCAGTGTCATCGTGATTTTAGAGGAGTGACGTTAAGCGTAACATGGGGGGCGGGAGGAGATAACGGCCGCACTATGCGGATATTTGATCATCATGTCGGTACCCCGGGGTACCAAATAATTATTAATGGAGTGGATTATTAACTTTGCTTTTGTGTCCTGGTCACAAAAGCAAAGTTTGTGGGGAATAATAGCCATTTTCTGTACTTTTGAGGCATAAGCAATTAGGAAATAACACTACCCAGGAAGAAAAAATGAATACATTTGTTCAACTTTTATTAATGGAGTGGATTATTAACTTTGCTTTTGTGTCCTGGTCAAAAATAATAGCCATTTTCTGTACTTTTGAGGCATAAACAATTAGGAAATAACACTGCTCAGGAAAAAAACAAATATTTGTTCCACAGTTATACAAAATGGGCGAGGCAATTAAATATTTTATTTCTGGGACAGTATTTTTCCCAGGGATGTTACTTAACTTTGCGACTGGGGTACCAATCAATCCGAAATCAGTGCCACTCCACGATGTCGAAACGCCGAACATTAACATACAAAAGCAATCCGTCATCGAAAATTTTAACTTTGAATATTGCATCGTGTACAGCTCGTCGAGATGAGTCGATTGCCGCATCGCCGACCATCAACAGACTAAAATGACTGCATCACGGACATTATACCACCATATGCAAGCTGGATTTAGAAAAGATTGCTGTATGATTAAGAGCGATGTTAACTACCTCGCCCGGTATATAGGAGGAGGTGGGTTCGATCCCGACCCTGACGTCTGTATATTGTATTTGGAGTTTGCATGTTCTCCTCGTGGTCGTGTGAACATTTTCCAGGTCCTTTGGATTTTTCCCTCCACATTTAGAATCACGCGTTTAGAGTATTCGGCTGCTATACATTTCCACGTGGTAAGCCACTTCGTTGAACTACCAATTGTGGTCAGGTTGCTTCTGAAAAAGAGCTATATAGCTCAGTGGGCCTTACTTGGGAGTCAGGGAGACACACTTTTACCAAAGTTATTCACGGCAACATAAAAATATATTTCTGTAAAATTGGATTGAAAAACAAAGGCATATATGTAAATGGACAAAATGTTAACGTCTCAGATTTTCCGATGGCTGTTATTGCAATAACCTAAATATGGCCAACAACGTAGTCAAACCAGTTCTTTTGTTCACTACAGAATGTAAACGTTTCATGACGTAAGTAGACTTGCGTCAAGGTTCTTTTGAATATTGTATGACGCAGGTACATCATGACCAGATAAAGAGGTCAGGCTCCTTCAAAGAATTCACGTTCATGTGGTGTGTGGTCGGCTCGTAGTAATCAGGCGCTGATGAGCATGGTGCTTGGGGAAGACATCTCAACGGCATATTCGTGAGTTACACGGTACAATTACATGTCGAGCATCTGAGAGCATTTTAGCTGGATATTTTTTAGTTGGATGAACCTTTACATTGATGATTGTATAGAAGTAAGAATCTTTATCACGAACTTATAAGTTCAATGAAGAGAATGAGGCTTTGAAATGTGCGATGACAGTTTGCGGGAGAGCAGGCCGAGTTCTTACAAATGTATTTCAACTAATTTGACGGTGCACATCAAGGCTGCATTTGAGAGTTGGCTCATTCTAGTAGGCATATTATTTTACCATTAAGAAAAAGTCCTTTAAAAAAAATATCAGCACTGAATTTGAGAATGTACAGTGAGGGAAAAAAGTATTTGATCCCCTGCTGATTTTGTACGTTTGCCCACTGACAAAGAAATGATCAGTCTATAATTTTAATGGTAGGTTTATTTGAACAGTGAGAGACAGAATAACAACAACAAAAAATCCAGAAAAACGCATGTCAAAAATGTTATAAATTGATTGGCATTTTAATGAGGGAAATAAGTATTTGACCCCTTTGCAAAACATGACTTATACTTGGTGGCAAAACCCTTGGTGGCAATCACAGAGGTCAGACGTTTCTTGTAGTTGGCCACCAGGTTTGCACACATCCCAGGAGGGATTTTGTCCCACTCCTCTTTGCAGATCTTCTCCAAGTCATTAAGGTTTCGAGGCTGACGTTTGGTAACTCGAACCTTCAGCTCCCTCCACAGATTTTCTACGGGATTAAGGTCTGGAGACTGGCTAGGCCACTCCAGGACCTTAATGTGCTTCTTCTTGAGCCACTCCTTTGTTGCCTTGGCCGTGTGTTTTGGGTCATTGTCATGCTGGAATACCCATCCACGACCCATTTTCAATGCCCTGGCTGAGGGAAAGAGGTTCTCACCCAAGATTTGATGGTACATGGCCCCGTCCATCGTCCCTTTGATGCGGTGAAGTTGTACTGTCCCCTTAGCAGAAAAACACCCCCCAAAGCATAATGTTTCCACCTCCATGTTTGACGGTGGGGATGGTGTTCTTGGGGTCATAGGCAGCATTCCTCCTCCTCCAAACACGGCGAGTTGAGTTGATGCCAAAGAGCTCCATTTTGGTTTCATCTGACCACAATACTTTCACCCAGTTGTCTTCTGAATCATTCAGATGTTCATTGGCAAACTTCAGACGGGCATGTATATGTGCTTTCTTGAGCAGGGGGACCTTGCGGGCGCTGCAGGATTTCAGTCCTTCACGGCGTAGTGTATTATCAATTGTTTTCTTGGTGACTATGGTCCCAGCTGCCTTGAGATCATTGACAAGATGTAGTTCTGGGCTGATTCCTCACCGTTCTCATGATCATTGCAACTCCACGAGGTGAGATCTTGCATGGAGCCCCAGGCCGAGGGAGATTGACAGTTCTTTTGTGTTTCTTCCATTTGCGAATAATCGCACCAACTGTTGCCACCTTCTCACCAAGCTGCTTGGAAATGGTCTCATAGCCCATTCCAGCCTTGTGTAGGTCTACAATCTTGTCCCTGACATCCTTGGAGAGCTCTTTGGTCTTAGCCATGGTGGAGAATTTGGAATCTGATCGATTTATTGCTTCTGTGGACAGGTGTCTTTTATACAGATAACAATCTGAGATCAGGAGCACTCCCTTTAAGAGTGTGCTCCTAATCTCAGCTCGTTACCTGTATAAAAGACACCTGGGAGCCAGAAATCTTTCTGATTTAGAGGGGGTCAAATACTTATTTCCCTCATTAAAATGCAAATCAACTTATAACATTTTTGACATGCGTTTTTCTGGATTTTTGCTGTTATTCTGTCTCTCACTGTTCAAATAAACCTACCATTAAAATTATAGGCTGATCATTTCTTTGTCAGTAGGCAAACGTACAAAATCAGCAGGGGATCAAATACTTTTTTCCCTCACTGTACGAAGGAAAACATAAAAGAAAATTCTCACTGCAGTGGTGACTGGTCTAGAGTATTTGGACTTGGGGGCCCTCCTTAAAATAGGCTTCAAATTTGAAACTCTTTTCAATACATCATACGTTATAAAAACGTGAAATAATTTTGATTTAATGCTTTCGTGACTGCAGGGATTCATATTCTTGGTTCTTTCGGTAAAGTCACGTAGAAGGGAAAAATAAAATAATAAAAAATAAAACAATAAAATTCTCACGATCATTGGAAGGATTTGATAAACCATTTCGGGTCTTAATCGATTGTTCACGCTTACGGTGGCTTTCAGACCGCATCCATCATTTTCGTCTCCCCCCTCCTCTTTTCCGAACATAGATGGAGTCGTCCATCTGAATAACTGCCAAATCGCTCTCCGTGGTGCTAACGTTAAAAAAACGCCACTTTTTCAAATTGTATTGCTGTGGTTTTCACACCTGATGATGATTGTTTGTGTTGCAGTCGAAACGTCGTGAGAATTTTATTGTTTCATATATTTATTATTTTATTTTTCCCTTCTACGTGACTTTACCGAAAGAACCAAAGAGTATGGATTCCTGCAGTCACGAAAGCCTTCAAATCAAGATTTTAGTTTATTGTTACGTCATTTTAAATGTATCATTCTTGTTTACATTTTTTCAGTCGCTTTTATTCAGTCATGTAAAACATTTTTATTGCATTCTTTGCACAAAACGTGCTATATAAGTAAAGTTTGATTTTATTGTATTTGCAACTGCCACGGCAGTGAGCGATCTTACTGTCGCACATATGAAAGATAAACAGGACCTTTCTAGATGCACATGTTACACGCGTCTTCAGTCACTGATATATAATTGTGCAGTGACTCACTCGGAGACAGGGTTCGTTAAGGCGCCTTCTTTATACTGGTAGGAACCTCCTGGTTCCACCAGCCCACAGGGGATTATTGTGTCCGTCCGTCCGTCGTGCATCCAAACATGGGAGGGGTGGGGCTGGGTGGAGAGGGGAGGGTGGGGAGGGGCTGGGTGGAGAGGGGAGGGTGGGGCTGGGTGGGGGGTGGGAGGGGTTGGGCTGGGTGGGGAGGGGCTGGTCACCCCGTGGTGCCCTTATAAAACTCAACGTTTAACCTACTCACGCCGGCTTGTGCCCGCCCTCACAGTCGGGCATATTTGCGGAATACACCACGTGGTGCCGCCGTTGACCCTGGCCATTGACCGAGCAACCCAACGTTCTTACCAACTCCCTCCGCAGGAATGTGTTTCTACACGTCAGGGAACTGCAGACACTCTACGTGCTTACACGCTAGACACAATCCGTCTCTTTTGACGGCACTGCCTAGCTAGTACAGTCGGCAGGCTGTACTGGCTAGCTGCGTCTCAGGGTGGTCGAGACGGCGGCGACGAAGGTGGGGACACGGCGAGGGGGGATCCACTTCCAGCAACAGCCTCGAGCTCTCGCCCCGGGCCCCCCTTTTATCCTCCCCGGCGTGGCCTCGCACCGCCCTCGCCACGCCAACCTATTTGGAACCTCCTAGCAGGTTCCCGGGGTTCCAGATGGACCCCTTCCTGAGCTTCTTTTAAGATCCCCTCACCCCCGTATAGACAGCACTCCCTCTGCTGTCAGTAACACTTTTCCATCAGCAGCCAGCGTTATTAAACTACAATGGCAACAATTGAAATGTTTTTTTACGTGTCTGTCACAAATATGACCAGTTACAATACATTACATGTTGACAACGTCACCATTTAACAGATGGATTTTGTTTGCTTACAGCTATTTTATGTGAGTTGATGCGCTAAACCCACTCAGCTGATACTCGGGAATAGTGACTCCAAAACCGGCCCAATGGAAAAGAAACGTGCATTGATCAGGGAGAGGTGCAGGAAGTTCCCAACTCTCTTTAACCTGGATGTATCCGTGGATGTCATACAAGTGGAGAGTGCCATTGCTAAGCTGAAGCGTGAACATGAATGCCCGAACTTGGCCGAGGAATTTGGCAACGACTTGAATTTGCTCAACAGCCTAGCGTACTTCTACCTCCGTCGGAACAAGTATAAAGATGCCAAGCCCTTGGTGGAGGAGGCCTTGGCCAAGGAGCCGCACAGCCTCACGGCCCTGGCCAACCAGTGCGAGATGTTCCTGATCCAGTTCAAGTTCCCCGAGGCGGAGAAGGCAGTGTGTGCCATGGAAGAGGAGAGCGAAAACAAGGAGGCAATCGTCACAGCGCTGGCCGAGCAGGGCTACTGCTACTCAAGAATGGGCCCCACTGCCTACATGAAGGCCATCGCCAAGTTCACGCAGGCCATCACGATGGGCCATGGTCACTGCTCTGCAGACAAGATGGCCTCCTGGAATTTTAGCGTTGCTTCAAATTGCAGCAGGTTTGTTTATGTTTTCCCGATGAGAATGTATCATTCTTTCATTATTAAAGATTAATAAGTTGATCGTTATGTGGATATTAATTTCAGGTTGATATTAAATAAATAGAACACAGTACTTTTAGCATTTCAGTGTTGATGAGAGAGATAACTGTTTAATTATTTTTGCAGGATTATGGCAAAGCAGATTGTGAAAGAGTTCCCAGATCTCAACATTCATGAGCACTTTGTAAAAGGACGTCAAGCATTGTTGTTTGTTATCAATACAGCCAAAAGAGCCTTAAAAGCCAAAGCGTACATCGTTTTGGGGGAGTTGACCAAAATCTATTTCACGGTAAACCACATCATTGCATTGTGCATTCACTGCATCGCATTACCTTTAATATCGTGGTCATTACAATAATATATTTAAATGTGTATATAGCAACGTAATTTATATAATAACAGTATTTTTTACATTAATGGATTGATATCGCATCATTTTGGAAAAGCTCAGGTATATGTCGGACCATCAGAGTGAATTCATTTCTAATTTTCAGGAATTCATGCACAGACTACTCAACTATGACATGGACAGGGTCATTGACGTGACAGATGAGACGATTACTACGTCACAGTGCTTCGAACTGGCATGTGAGTGGGGCTCCTCGGACTACTGGGTGCTGGAGAGGGCCGGCAAACACCAGAGACACAGACGTGATTTTTTGAAGGCCCTGGAACTGCTGTGGAAGGCACACTCATTTTACCCAACAGCATTTAACCTCCACCACCTGGGCTTGACCTACAGAAGCCTCGCATGGAAAGCCTATAAGACAGGTAAGAAGAGTGAGGCCTTTTGGCAACATGGCAAAGGAAGTTTAATATTTTTTGCATATCAAATGTCTTCAAATAGAATTTACAAGTTGTGGGGTAGCAGCACCTATGACGTAGCAGCCACATTGTGTTTGAACTTGTTTTAATAATTTCCACTAGTTTCATATTTTTACCACATTACAATTTGTATATTAATCAGGGTTTGCATGCCAGCACTTGCCACTTGGTGAACTATTCTTGAAAATATATTTTGCATGTGGCAAAGGACACACTATATATTTGGCGACAGACGAAGCAATTATTGAAATTGTTACTCATTTTAACGTTCGCAGGGGAAAAATAACAATGCTTGTGAATGTTAACGTCATGAAACGATACTGCAAGAAATGGCTTTACAATAAATCGTGGACATTTGACAAATTTCCCAATGCTGATTTTTGTTTTCAATTTAGCAAATTCCAGGGAATGGAGGAGCCAAAGTCAGCCGAGATACGATCGGAATGACACAAGAAGAGAACGGGAAGGATGCGTCACTCCCAATTATGGTGCATCTGGATATAAAACCTCGACCACACAGGGCAATGGAAGCGCAACGTACCGTGCTCTTCCAGATCAGTTCAGGAGAAAGAGTAGCCAAGAACAATATGGGCAATACAGAGAGAGGTGTGCCACTATTGCAAAGGAGAATGCAGCATCTAAAACTAAACCGAGTCAAGGGGAGACTCCTTTTGTCATTCAGAGAGAGGCATCAGGAATGAATTCACAGAATTTCTACTTTAATGTATATGCAAATACTGATGATCCGATGATAATAGAATATTTGGAAATGGCAATAAAGTGCATTAAAGATGCTGTTGAATTATCAAGTGAGAGTGGTAATCCACTCTTCGTGACTCTGGCCGACATTTACACATCACTTGGTAAACATGAGGAAGCAGACGAATGCTTCATTAAGTCATTGCAACAACATAATTACATCGGTAATTTCAGTTATGCCCTGACATATGAAAAGTGGGGGTTTGCCATGAAAAATCGAGGTGAGAAGGAAAAGAGCCAGGATTACTTCCGAATGGCTATTGAGCACGCGGCCAAGGCCAAAGTTCCAGTGAAGGTAGCGTTTCAGTGCTTAATGCGTGATATGATGGAGCCCCAGATCCCGAAACCAGAGCAGCTTCGCAGTCAATCGGAACTTTGCCAGCTCGTGGGGCGGCACCAAGAGGCTCTCAGTTTACTGTGGGAAGCAGACAAAGAGAGCCCAGATAATCCAGATACTCTGTCCGGCCTCATCAAGAACTTGGCTGCAGAAAAGCAATACGAGTTAGCTCGCATGTACCTGGCCATCCTACAACACACAGAAGGTTCGGATGAGATGATTGATCCAGCGCTCCAAGTTGAAATATGCTTTGGGGCAGCCGAGCGGAATCCGGACACACTCTCACTCATTGGCTTACGGGACACTTATGAATGCCTACTCAGAAATCCTACAAAGCCGCAAGGGAATTCACAAGATGTATTCATATTTCATGCAAACAATTCAAAGGCTGACTCGCAGCTGGCTGTGCACATTCAGCGCTTGGCCAAAGAGGTAGGGCAGGTCGAGTGCGAGACCCTCGATGACCAGCCTGCTGGCACACTTTTCCTAGACATCATGGAAGAAATAGTGAATAACTTCGATGCAGTTTTGATCATACTGACTCCAGATTTTATTGCCGATCATGTAAGAATGAAGCTTTGCAAATACCTCATAGAGAGGCCCTGTGTCTTGCTGTGCCTGTGCCCTTCCTCCGTTATCAAAGAGCAAATTCCCACCACGCTTCGACTTACCTATCGAGCAATTATCCCTGAGAGATTCCACTGCGCAGATTTTACAGAAAAAAGGGATTCAGTTGAAAAATTACGCATTTGGAGAGAAATCTTTTATCATTTGCTAGCTGCTAAAGATCATGCTAAAATCACTTAAAGTACAAGTTGTTAAAAGGCCCACTTACATTTTCCTAAACGTTGAACGTAAATCGATAGGCAAAAAATATGTATCTATCAAAACCTATATATCTTTCTTGGACTTTGATGTTTGAGATCAAAAATACTTCAAAACCTAAAGTAGCTGTTGACAACAACTGTAAAATATTCTTGGATCTTTCGGTAAAGTCACGTAAAAGGGAAATAATAAAATGATAAAAATAAAACATAAAATTCTCACGACGTTTCGGCCACAACACAAGCAGCCGTCCTCAGGTGAAGAACAGAGCTGTCGGAAAGACAGCGTCCTAATGAACACTGCTAAGCTTAGCTTCCGACAGCTCTGTTCTTCACCTGAGGACGGCTGCTTGTGTTGTGGCCGAAACGTCGTGAGAATTTTATGTTTTATTTTTATTATTTCACTTAAACGTGACTTTACCGAAAGATCCAAGAATATGAATCCCTGCAGTCACGAAAGCTTTCAATCGAAACTGTAAAATATATTCGAAGAGGGATAAATAGTCGTGCCGTGCGTTGCCATGGTGAACAAAGTTGCTTTATTTCAAAACCGAAAAGGTAAAGGGGAGTTATTGGAAAAGCTTTTGAGGCAATGTTTAAGGATTTATGTTCAAACCACAGGGAAAAAACTGTGGCCCATTGATGCAGTCACTCAACCCCTCGCAAACTCAAGGACTAAATAATTATAATAAAATATATTTGGAAGACCGTTAAACAAATTATTTAAACAAATTGGAATAGCTATGCAGATTGCATGGAGTAACACAGTTCACATTTGAAGGGGATTTCGACAGAGGTGCTTTCATCAGATTTCACTGACGTTAGTCAATGATTTATGCAAATTTGATTTCATAAGGTATAAACATAAACTGAGACGATATGAAAGATCTCAGACCTGCTGATGATAAAGTCATTAAATTATTATCAATGGCAATAGACAAAAGGAATGTATCCAATACAAAGTTGATTTACTGTACGTACTCCCTAAATGTGATTGCATCTCACAATTATACTGAGTTGCAGTGGCCATGTATTATTTTAATAGACAGTCATTCATAGCCAGAGGAAAACAAAATACATCTTAATCCTGGACTTTTCACATGGGCAGGGCATCCAAAAAGCACGGATGGCTGGGGAAAGGTCATTCCAAAATTTGAGGCAGCAGAAGAGCTTGAGCGATACCCCATTGAATGAAGATTGGCTGAGGGCTTCCACATTAATCTTTGGTTGTACCGGTGGAGAGTGGAAACGAGCTGTGAGATGAGAAGGGGAGGGTCAACAGGGATGAGTCCACGGAGGATCTTGAAGACTTATGCCAAGTTTTTGGGATGTGAGACACAATGAGTCACATACCACCTTCGCACAATGGTAAATACTGCAAGGCAAACCTTTCACATGCTCATAGCAAACCAGTTTTTGCAGCAAAGCAATGGTGTCTGCCAAGAACTACAATATTTGCAGGGGAAAAAAAGTGTTTTAGAAACAATATTGCGTTTCAGCGACGATTTTAATGTTAGCTCGGTAGTTCTATGCCATCCCAGGATCTGTGGCGAACTGTTAATTTAACTACAGTATACGGATTTTTTTCAGAAACCAACACATTTCTATACCATTTGACAATAAGAGTTGGGCACAGCAAGTGTCCTCTCTGCTATTTGGCTGAGAAATACAGGCTTTGCTGATCAACGACCTGTTTCATTTGCAGAGTCTGTAGCTGAGGCCGTTTTGAGGATTTAATTGATTGGGCACAGCGGTAGCAGACCAGCACCCATCCCTGTAAGTAGTTAGCGGTGCCGCTCACCAATGGAGAAAATCTGCCATGGGATCTACCCGAGAAGAAGCGATAACTTGGAGCTTTGTGGAAGCGCTGGTTAGCCGAGCAACGTAATCCAAGCGTGCCACCTTTGGATCGGGCAGAAGTTTCGAGGCTTGGTGAGGAGCCACTCGTGGAGAGATGTGGGACAGAAGAGAGGCTGCCTGAGGCGCAGTGAGAGGTTACCTGGAAGGTGGCAGGGCGCTGCACTGGAAGAAGCTAGTGGCGACTTGAGAAACTGTGCGAGTGGAGAGCCATGCACCACTGTGGTGGCTGCTATGCAAGTGCGAGCTGTCTTCTGCTTGGAACTGACGGGTCACCTGTTGGCAGCATTGGAAAAAGTGCATCGGGCTGTGAAAAGGCCATGGTATAGCAGTTGAAGGTCACAATATAAAAAAAAATATTCACCAATTGTAATGTGCAGTTTATGTTAGATTCAGAGGCACTGGCACCCACATAAAAAACGGAATTATATATATTTGGCTCATGTATGACATATCCTTTTCTGTTTATAAATGAGTATCAGTCATATGTGTAAAGTTAATGCAACTTATTTGTAATTGTACTATGATCAGTCTGAAAAAAATATACCAGAGCCAACTTATGCGGCAGGAAATATATTAACATTGATTTATGTTCGCGTGCAAAATATTTTCGATTTATCAGAAGACGCAATTGTTTTCTGTCCTGATTTATATTTGCTTCATCGCTGAACTCTCTTTCTTTTACCTTTGTATTTTTGGTGGTCTGGGTCACTCTCAGGGATGAGACTCAATCCTGGTATCTTGAGTTTCTCATCCGGTTAAACAAAATAACCTTGAAACTTTAAACTCCGTGAATAAGTGTTGAGACAAATTAGAGGAACCCAGAGTACTTCACCCACCTGGACTGAATCTCCGCCAAGATGCAGATTAATGACCTGTGGGTGCAGCAGCGTCTGTGGTGCACAAAGACAAACAGACTCGTTACCAGGGAGCAGATCAGCTACTGGAATCAGCCTGTGTTATAATCGATCCCGCGGGATGAACAGTGGGGGTGAATGACTAACTTAATATCATAAGAGTACCGTATTGTGTTGTTGCTCTGGAGATCGGGAGATCGATGGTCAATGTTCGGTCGCCACGTTCATAGGATCCCATACCTGTCAACCCATACGATTTGCTCGCTTGTACAGGGAAAACGAGTTTTCACGTCCATTCGGCGTATTGCCGTTATAATTTCGGCAATAATTGTTTTACCTATTGGTTTGTGTTTCTCTCTTGTAATGGGACTTTTCAGGATGGACGTTGAGATTTATAAGGGCACGGGGTGACCAATAAGGTCTGAATTGGTCTGTAATAAGGTAGGGCACTGATACCAGAGTGGGACGCGTGAAGGCTGCCACTTTCCACTCCCACAAATACGAAGGAGGCATCACGGCGGTACACTCAGCTACTCCTGACGCGGTTGTCTGGGCTTGACAACCTGAATATGAAATTGAAGTTGTTACTCTGCATCTACATCAGCAGCCGTACGAAATAAGTAACTTTATTCATATTGGGTGGTTGTTTAAATGTGAGTAATAATCCAAGAGGTTGATTATTCAGAAGCGAATTACTGTATTAATTTTGTAAGGCCGAATTGAGAGGGGGTGAGTGGGGTCATGGTACAGATCCAACGGTAGAAGTTCGAGTTTTGTGAGGATTTTTCGGGAGGAGGAGACCTGTTAAGTTCCTTCACGAGTTCTCTTGTGTGAAACGTTGTAGATACCGCCCTTGCCGAGAAGCTATAAGGAGGGTGGGGAGCTATAAGAATTGTACACTCCGGATGTGGCGGCAGTGATTAACGTCACACATTTTGCACAACATTGTTAAAATTAATTTTTTAAAATACAATGAGCGTGTCTCGATTTAACGCTGCAGGTCAATAGAAATGGCTCTATACTCGGAGTCCCAGCGTTTCTCTTAGTGGAGCAGCTTACACCAGTACCCCCCCCGCCCCCCGTATCAACCTGGCTACATGGCCACAGGGTTTGGTGGTACATGTTGTTTATGTCGTTTATTGTGAAATTAAGGTCACAGATCTTACGATCACTGTTACATCGCTTCTTTTATGGCTTCATTTTGGTGATTTCGAAAACGTTTTTTTGGTTTGGCCATGTTTGTTTGTTGTAGTACGGAGTTAAACTGATGGCTTTAATCTAAGTCGTCTTGTGGTTGTTGTTGTTGTTGTTTGACTTGCATCCCACTGGGATTTTTGCACACAACGTTGGTGTACGGTGCTTTTTCCGGAAGATTTCTGCTGTTTTTTTCCTGGATTTTTGTGTTTGCGCATATAGTCACTTTAAGATGTTTTTCTTGTTCATGTTTTTGTTTTTTTGTTTGTTGCGGTTGCACCCGATTCAAGAGCCGAATGGCTCACAGGGCTATACCAAATAAATGAAACTAAAAACTGAACCTCGCTATCCTCGCTACAGGAAGCAAGAAACACCTTGCTTCTGAGGGCCACCCGGGTAAAACAAAAGCATGCGCCTCCGTAGCAAAGGGCCACAGCCTGTTGATGGTGTGAGCTGGAGCCTGTGGCTGCCATAGGAATTCGAACCGAGCCCCACAAGCGCGAGATGCCCGAGGGGCTGAGACAATTCTATAAACTGTGGACCTGTACAGCCCCCATTTATCCCATTCCCTGTGGGATATATGCAACGGAGATTTATGCGCGAATCACCACCACAATGCACGGGCCGAGAGCGAGCGGCCAGGCTCGGCTCCGGTGTGGAAGGAAGAGCTCTCCGCCGTGTTTGTCTTCGTTGCGGTTGGAACTTGAATTTGGAGCTTTCGTGACTGCAGGAATTATTCTTTGTTTTTTTTCGGTAAAGTCACGTTATATGGTTTCCAAATTTTGCTAAACCCTGTTTGATTTAGTGTGCTCCCCCGTCTCTCTCTCTCTCTCTGTATCCCCTGTTGTATCTGTATATATATCTGCGGTTATGTGTCTCCTCTCTCTCGTAAATTTAGCTCTTCTGTACCTGATGATGATTGCTTGTGTTGCAATCGAAACGTCGTACGCCATTATGTAATTTTATTATTTCTTATTTATACGTGACTTTACCGAAAAAAACAAATAATAATTCGTTGCGGTTGTTGTGTTGGCGTGTTTGAGCGGTGGCATTTGCGAGGAAACGCTGAAAATTCGGCAACCGGTCTGGGAGCTTTTACTCCTATGCACAGGATTATTGGTGAACATTCAACTGCACTGCGTGTGTATTTCGCAACAGCCTACTCATAATGCCTTAATGCGTTGGTTGGGGGAAAAGTGGGGAGCGGTAGTGTAGCGGTTAGCGCTACGCTGCGCTACGAACCAGGCGAACCGAGTTCGATTCCCGATCAC